TCCTGCTGACATGTGCAGGTGAGGCAGGCCCGGGTGGGCCCAGGGCTGTGGGAGCGTGGTGCCCCTCTCCCCAGATCTCCTGGGCCTGTGCTCAGCCAGCCCCCACCTCACTGAGACCACTGGGAGAGCTCGCCTTCAGCCCTGCCCCTGCTTAGCACCCTAAGAGCTGTCAGGGCTGCTCTGGAGTCAGTGCTGCCTGGGGCCTGTCCCCGCCTGCCACCTGAACATGGTCCTGGGGAGTCTGAGTCCTAGGGCTGCCTCTTCCTTGCTGTGTGACCTCGAGGACATTGCTTCGCCTCGCTGGGCCTTGAATACCTTCTCTACACGGCCGTGCCCACCCGCGGCAGTGATGGCGAGATCTCGGTAACATGGTGGAGGTGATGCGATAAGCGTTTAACAAGCGTTAGGGCCCAAGAGCAGAGTCTCCAGGTTCAAATCCTGCCTCTGCCACTTTCCGTCTAGTTCCTGACTCAGGTTCCCCAGCTGTAAGATGGACAGTTGTCCCTCCCAGCAGGGTTAGGGTTAGGGTCACACGCCTGGCCCGAGGTGTGCCCTGTCAGGTGTGTAAGCGTGCTGCTGAGCACTCGGTGTGTGCCAGGTACAGCATTTGGCACACACGACACCCACAGAAGTGGGTGCCCCAGACCTCGTTTGACAAGTGGGGCTCAAAGACAGCCAGGACGTGGAGGTCACCCTGAGTGGCCAGCGAACTCCAGACCTCACTCAGCTGCCTCCCCTGAGGAATTGTAACTTGATGCCTCCACCCTAGAGAGGCCGGAGTAGGCTTTCATTAACCGCAGGATCCCCCTGGGGCCCCCAGGCCTCTCCCACACTCCAGCCTCCCTGGGCTCTCCCAGCCTCGCCTCTGCTGCACCGGCTGGCGCCGCCCTCACCGCCCTCACCGGCTGGGACTGGCCAGGTACAGCCTGGTGGCCAGCTGCTCAGCCCGCCCTGCCCTTCCTCTGTTAAGCCCCTCACCCACCACATCCGCGTTCCTCTGGCCTTGCCAGGACCTCTGGTCCAGTTCCTGACCCTGGTGGGCAGAGCTGGGGATCTGATCTGACCGCAAATTCTGCCCCAGTGCAGGTCTGTGTGCACGGCTGGGCCCCTGAGGGAAACATCTATGCCATCCAATGGAGGGGTCATGGTCCCGTGACGCTGCACTGTCCCCACTGTGTCCTTGTGCGGGTGCTGGTCTGCACAGAAGCACGTGGGTGTGCGGGGCCCTGCATGTCCCATATGTGCAACCCAGTGAGTGACCTTGAACACCACAGACCTGGCGTGGGGGCTGGCCCCGAGACAGATGAATGTCCTGGCCGGCCGGCCGCGTCCCCAAGGCTCTGACCTCAAATGCCCAGCCGTGCCCAGGCGTTGCCCTGGGGTCTGGTCTATGGGTCCCATGCTGAGCGTTGGTCTCTGGGTTCGCATCTGCTACCCGGGCCTGTGCCGACGGCTGACTGACTTCAGCCCTCTGTGTCCACAACCCAAACATCCGCACGTATGTCCCCAGAAATAAACCCACGTGCCTTTGCGAGAAACGGCGAACACTTACTAAGCATCTGCAATGTGCCCGGCGTGACTCGCCACACACACTCTCTGTCTCCAGCTCCATCCTTTTAACAATCCCGCTTTTCCAGACAAGCCTTGCTCAGCCTCACAGCTCGTATGCCGGAGCCTGGGGTAAGGTCACCCTCTCCTCCAGACCCCGTGTGCGAATGTGCACATCCATGGCCCCGATGCCAGGCCACACCAGAGGCCGCAGTGGGTCTGGTCTATAGCTGAAGCTGTATGCACGTGCACGTGTGTATCCATGTCCCGACGGCCCGCACGCACACACGCACACATGCGAGCATCTGCGCTGTGTGCGCTGTGATCCTCTGAGCGGCAGCCCGTGGCCCCAGGCGAGCTGCAGCAGGACGCGCTGGCCACGTCCGGAAAGCCTGGCTGTGCGGGCCTGTCATCCATGAGCTTGCGTGACATGCCGTGTGTGGCTGAGACATGAGACTCTGGGGCCAAGGCTGTGTCGTGCGTATCGAGTGGCCACATCTATGTGACAACTGGGGGACTTTGAATGACTGGTTCCAAGTGGCCCGCCCCCAGCCACAGAGGACTTCTCGTCCTTTCCCCATCCTCTCCTTCTGAGCCCTATGGCGAATGGTGGGGGCTAAGGTTCTGGAAAAGCAGAGGCGGGAAAGCTAGAGGGCACAGAGCTTCAAAAGCACCAGCAGAGGCTCCTGGAGAAATCAGAAGGCATAGCTGGGAGGGGCGGGGCGCAGGGTGAGAGGCCCTCCTCTCCACTTACTCCCAGCAGCCCAGGATGGTGACAAGATGCCGGAAGGAGAGGAGTGTGCACCTCACTCGCAGCCATGGCAAGTGGCCCTCTTCGAGCGTGGACGCTTTAACTGTGGTGGTTCCCTCATCTCCCCTGACTGGGTGCTGTCTGCCGCCCACTGCCAAACCCGGTAGGGGGGCAGAGCCAGGGTCTTGGGGGCGGGGGCGTAGCTGAGGGCGGGGGCTCCTGGTGGGAGTAGGGAAGGGACCCAGACTCCTAGGTTTTGAAGAAGGAAGAGGTCAAGCCCCTGAGTAGGGGGCTAAATGGGTTCCAAACTCTTAGATCCCTAGAGGCAAGAGAAGACTGGTCCATCTTTTTTTTTTTTTGGAGAGGTTTTTGCTATAGAGTGCATGCCCTTGCCAGAGAGACGGAGACAGAGAGACAGAAGGCCAGAAATCATCTCCCAGGGAGAGGGCTATGCTGCAATCCCTTCTCCATTCTCTCGGGATTTTGGTGTGCGTGAGTTTAAACCACCGGGTCCGGGACTCAAACCAGGGTCAACGACATGGAAGTTCAGCGACATAGCCAGACTGGTCCATCTTTTAGCCTCTGATGTGGGAAGGGTCTCAGGGTCTGAGGCCCTAGAGGAAGGGAGGGAGGAAGCCTGGGGGCTGAGCTCAGCTGTGTGCACAATGTTGGACTCTGGTCCCCGGGGGCAGGGGCTGGAACGGCTGGCTTCGGGGTCTTAGAAAAGAGTAACGGGATCTCGAGCTCCTCAAACGGTCTGGGACCCTCAGGCTGCCCACTCTGATCCTTCTGTCTGCTCCTCACCCCTCCTGCGGGACCACCGGCCGCACAGCTTCATGACCGCGCGCCTGGGCGAGCACAACCTGCGCAAGCGCGATGGCCCAGAGCAGCTGCGGGCTATTTCGCGCATCATCCCACATCCGGGCTACGAAGCCCGCAGCCACCGCCATGACGTCATGCTGCTGCGGCTAGTCCGGCCCGCGCGGCTGACCTCCCAGGTGCGCCCGGTGCCTCTTCCCAGGCGTTGTCCCAGCCCAGGCGAGGCCTGTGTGGTGTCCGGCTGGGGCCTGGTGTCCGACAACGATCCCGGGGACACGGGGAGCCCCGAGTCACAAGGTGCGTGAAAGCGCGGAGCCGAATGGCAGGCCTCGAGGAACCCTGCTCTCCAGGGCGCTGGGCGGAGGGGACAGGGCCCACACGGATGGTTCTCCAAGTCTGCGCTCCTCCCCAGTGAAAATCCCGGACACGCTGCACTGTGCCAACATCAGCATCATCTCCGACGCGTCTTGTGACAAGGACTACCCGGGGCGCCTGATGAGCGCCATGGTGTGTGCAGGAGTGCCCGGAGGAGGCACCGACTCCTGCGAGGTCAGAGCCCAGACTACCTTGGCGGGAGAGAGAGGGAGGGCACGGGTTGGGGAGTGAGGGTGGGTTGAGCCAGAGAAGATGCCAGGGTTAGGTTTGGGGGATGGAGTCGCAGTGGGAGCGAGGCCGAGTTGGGTCTGGGATGACCAGAGGACTGGCCGGCGTTGGGAGGATGACCGCCTGATTTCCAGTGGAGCTGGGATCGCTTGGGGTGTGAGTTGGGTTGGTCCATTTGGGTTATACTGGGTGGCGCTGAGTTGAGTCGGGCTGGGGTGGGATTGAGTTTGGGTGGAGATTGTGCATGGTGATTGGGATGGGCGTGGGGACACTAGCTCCGGGAGGTTCTCATTCAACCTGAGACACCCGCTTCTCCCCACAGGGTGACTCCGGGGGGCCCCTGGTCTGTGGAGGCGTCCTGCAGGGCATTGTGTCCTGGGGTGATGTCCCTTGTGACATGACCACCAAGCCTGGGGTCTACAGCAAAGTCTGCCGTTACCTGGAGTGGATCGGGGAGACCATGAAGAGGAACTGACCGGCCGGCCAGCCTCCGGTGTCCTCCACGGCCGGCCAGGCCCACCCTGGCCTGGAACAGGGTCAGGTCATCCCCCTGGACCCAAATGCTGGCCAGGGACTTGTCCTGCATGAAGCCAGAGCTGGTGTGCAAGGTCACCTGTTTAAAGCCCAGATACCAGAGCGCGCTGACCCAGGCTTCTCTGTAGGAGTTCTGTGACCCATGTCCGGGGACAGAGGACAGTGGAAGCCGGACACAGGCAGGGGCTAGGGGAGGGGGCCGGGGAACCGTCCACCGCCCATCGCCAGGCTCCGTTCAGTCGGACACAAGCTGTGCTATCTGGAGCTGGCCTCTGTGAGGCAGAGGTCCTCCCACCGCTGCCCTAGGGTCGCGCTGAGCATTAAATCCACGTGAACGGTTAGAACGGCACTGGAGAAGGACTCGCGTCTCTGACCCCACACACACTAGACTGCCGACGGTGACTCCGTTCTCTTCAAGATTTAGTTCTGAGCCTCACAGGAGCCATGGTTTGGTTTGGTGTGGTTCCGATTGGTTTGAAAGCAGGTGTTCTTTCCTTAGGCAGGGGTCTGACAGACCCGCGCAGCGGGGGCCGGGCCCCTGGGAGTGCTTTGACTTTAAGGAAGAGCCCCCCCGTGTAGCACGGAGGCAGCAGGGGTCTACTTTCTGGCCCCTTCAGACCCCCAAAACTGCTTTTCAAGGTCACAGAACGCTGCAGGCCCGTGAACCTGGTTCTTGAGAACTACATGTTGTACTGGCAACCTGGCAACGTGGGGGGTGCTTGGGGCTTGTGGCGAGGATGGCCTTGACCTGCGAGGACAGGCTGTGCACGTCGCTAGGATGTGCAGGGCATGACCTTGAGCACCCCTAGCTGGAGAACATGAAGTCATTGAGACCCCGCCATGGGGAGGGGAGAAATCCTGGAGAACCTACTCTAAGAGGCCCCTGAAATGTAGCCCTGGATCTGGGTGCTGGGACTATGATGTCTATGCCCAAGTTTTATCATGAAAAGAACAACAGCTTTGGGGACCTAGATCCCAGATCTGGGGGTGCAAGAACCAGAGCCTTCTGAAAGCCAAGGCCTGTACTTCAGGGGGTGCTGTCGTCTGGACACACGGGGCAGGGCCCTGAGCCCTTGCTGCTGCCATCTGAGGGTACGCCGGCGTTGGGGCGCAGGGCCTTCCTTGGGGTTTTGTAGCAAAGGTCAGGGATTCTTCCGCCCTCCTGTTTCTGCTCCTCCTGCCCCCACCTCGCTGGCTCTCCCCTGCAGGGCAAGGCCCGAGGAGCCGAGGCCCCGCCCGCCTCAGCCCTGGGAACCCATCCAGCGAGCCCACAGCCCTGCACAGCAGCTGCTGTTTCCCGCCCCTCCCACAGCAGCGGGGTGGAGGGGTGTCCAGCCCCCAGCCTGGGTGCCAGCAGGGCAGGGGCGGGGATCTGGGCTTTTAAAGGCTCCCCAGGGAGGTTCCCACATCCTAGCTCACGCCGGCCTGCCCCTGGACACCTCTGTCACCATGTGGTTCCTGGTTCTGTGCCTCGCCCTGTCCCTGGGGGGGACTGGTGAGACAGCGGTGGGGATACGGGAGGGGGAGCGGGCCCGGACTCTCTCGTACTGCCCCTCACTCCTCACCCCTCACCTGTGACTCTTTCCTCTCCCACCTAGCACCCAGCCTTGTCCCTCCTGCCCACGGTCCCTCCCGACCAGGGTTGCTGGACTTCTCCTGATCTCTCTGGGCTCACCTAAAATGCCCCGCTCTAGCCCCTGTGTGTGGCCAGGTCTCAGTCCATCCCATGCTGGGCCCCGTTTCCCTCCCAGTTACCCCTTCCCAGAGCAACTCCCTGCTGCCAGCCACTTTACCAAGGGGACAGGTCCTAGGCCATCGCTGTCTTCCTCCTTGGGGACACCAGCCCTTCCATGGAGCTCCCCCATCAGACGCTGATGGTACCCTCTGCCCCCTGGTTCTCCCTGGCCCAGAGGTCTGACTCCTGTGCCCCCAAATCTCACCATAACTGGTGGCTCTCCAGGCGCTGCCATCTGGTTCCCCTTAAATCCCTCCAGAACCCCCACATTCCGTCAGACAGCTGACAACACATAGGGCCCATCCCAGTCACGGGGATCCCCTCTGTGCCCCGGAACCATCCAGCACCCCAGCCCTGCAGCTGCGTGTTCCTCCCCTCAGTGCCCTGCACAGCTCTACTTTTAGGAATGGAGATCCAGCCCCGTCTTCCCCGAGTCCCCCAGTGTGGGTTGTAAAACCTACACGTGCTGCCGTCCATTCCCACGGCTGCTGGCCCGTTTGACCCCTTTTCCATGCCTGTACTCCAAGAAAACCCCAGCTCCCTCCAGAACCCTGGGATCATGAGCCCCATCCCCTTGAGAAATGCTCTGTCCCAGGGTGTCTGCCATTCCCCCCCCATCCTGGCCCCAAACCTGTTCTTGGGGACCCCAAAACCTTATAGGAGGCCACCCCCCAGCCTTTACCATAATCCCTTCTCCTTTTTACCCGGGAACCTGCATTCTCCCTGTCCAGGCACGCTGTCCAGCCCCAATCCAGGAACTCCACAAATGGCCCCCGAGTTCCCTAGCCTGGGTGCTCTACCTGACCTCACACCTGACCCCTAGGCTGCATCCTTCTCTGAACCAGTCCCTACTGCTTCCCCAGCCCAGAACTCCCTAACCCTCTGAATCCCCTCCCAGCCTCCTTACCGGCCCTTACCCCCTTACCCGGTTTCTGGAATCCCCTTCCCCTCTGTGAGTCCCTCACAGTCCCCATACCTATGCTGGACTCTCCCTCCTAGGAGCCCCGTCAACTCAAAACCCACCACTCCTGCTTTGACCCCAGGGTCACTTTGCTCCTGCATACAAAACCTCCCAAAACCTCCACCCAGGACCAGCCCAAACCCCTTCCCAGAGCTGACTCCAGGCCCTGGCCCCTCCCGGGCTCCTCTGGTCTGCAGCACAGCACCCTTCCTGAGGCCAGCCCCACCTTCCTGCCAACACCACCCTTGACCCAGTCCCCCCACCCCACAGGTGCTGCGCCCCCTGTCCAGTCCCGGATCATTGGAGGCTGGGAGTGCAAGCAGCATTCCCAGCCCTGGCAGGTGGCTCTGTACCATTACAGCCACTTCAGCTGTGGGGGCGTCCTGCTGTACCCCGAGTGGGTGCTCACGGCCGCCCACTGCTACAGCAAGTGAGTAGGGCCTGGGTGGGGAGGGGCCTCTGCTCCCACAGGACCCAGAAGCCAGTGCCATTCCCCGGGGGACTCCAGGCCAGGCTGGGGCTCTGGTGTGGGTGCCTGGAGAGGCAGGGCTGGGCCAGACACCCCCATCCGCCCCTCCACCTTCTGCCTCCTCCCCCATGGCTGCCAGACGCTCTCTGTCTGGTCTCTCTGTCTCTGGGCATCTGCTGTGTGCCCCCCCCAACTGCCTTGGTCACTTCCCCTCTCTCCTCTGTCTCCCTGTCTCCCTGTCTGGGTTCTCTGCAGCCATCTCTGTCACTGAATGTCTCACCCTCCAGCTCTGCTGTCTCCCTTGGGTCTGTGCCATCCCCCAGGATGGGCCTTAGGGGGACCCCAGAGGAAAGGAAGGCTCGATCCCCCACACGAGTGTCTGTGTGTGCCTGTGAGTGTGAGCGTGTGTGTATATGTATGAGTGTAAACGTGTGTATCTGGGTGTGAGCGTGTCTGTGTGTGTATATTCTCTGTGTGTGTGAATGTATCTGTGCACGTGTGCATGTGTGTGTGAGTGTGTCAGCATGAGTGTGAGATGTGTGTCAGCGTGAGAGCATGTGTGTGTGTCAGCGTGTGTGAGCGTGTGAGTGTGTGTGTGTGTGTCTGTGAGGGTGCTGCTCACCCCGCCCAGCCCCGCCCTCAGGACGCCCCTACCCTCCGGAGACAGGGGAAGGGCCGGTCTGAGCTGGAGCTGGGGCGGGGGCTCCGGCCCTGGGCTGCGGGCCAGGCCACCCCTGCCAGCCCCGGCAGAGCCCCAGCTGCGCCCGCCCGCCCCGCCCCGCCCTCTCACCACCTGCGTCCTCCCTGCGGTTTCCCGTCCCTGCTCTCACTCGCGCGTCCCTCTCCTCTCCTCCCTCTGCCCGCGGTCTCTCGCCCGGTCTCTGTCTCTGCTCCCCGGTCCCCCCATCTGCCTTGGCTCTCGCACTCCGTGTTCTCGCTGCCTCGCTCACCCCTCCCCTGTCCTGGGGCTCTCCCCCTGTGTGGCCCCCCGCCCGTCCCCAGTAATTACCAGCTCTGGCTGGGTCGCCACGACCTGTACGAGGACGAGGACACGGCGCAGTTTGTCCAGGTCCGCGGCAGCTTCCCGCACCCACAGTTCGACCTGAGCCTCCTGAATAACACCACCCCGGCCCCCGACGAGGACTACAGCCACGACCTCATGCTGCTGCGCCTGGCCGAGCCCGCCCGGCTCTCAGCCGCGGTGCAGGTCCTGGCGCTGCCGGACCAGGCGCCCGCAGTGGGGAGCACCTGCTACGCGTCGGGCTGGGGCAGCGTGCGGCCCTTAAACTGTGAGGCTGGGCGCGACCCCGCGGCCCGGAGCCCCCATGCCTGGGCCTGAGCCGGGAGGGTGGGGTCCCGGGCCCGGCCACAGCCCTGTGTCTCCCGGCCGCAGTCTCGTACCCAGACGTTCTGCAGTGCGTGGACGTCGAGCTGCTGCCCAACGAGGTGTGCGAGGAAGCCCACACCCAGAAGGTGACGGAGTTCATGCTGTGTGCGGGGCGCGTGGAAGGCGGCAAGGACATCTGCGTGGTGAGCCGTCTCCCTCCGGCATCCAGTCCCCCTCTCGGAGGGGAGGGGTGCTTAGAGGCCCAGCTTCCCTCTGTGACCTCCGCTCCTTCCCCACCCCCCATCCGGGACCTGCCCTCCCTCTAACCACACGCCTCCAGGCAGGGAAGCTTCCTGCAGATCTGGCCTCCTGGGGGAGCCCCGGGGACAAGGCCCTGCTCCCCTCCCGCTTAAAGGCCGGGACGTCCTCCTGGACCCTGCCCAGGAGCAGGACCCTGAAGTCCCTTCCGCACTGGCGGAGGCTGACCACTGTCCCCTCTGTTGCGATCCCCACCCGCCTTGCTGGGCTGCCCAGGCAGAGCCCACGCCAACCTTCCTGTCTCCCCTGGCGCCCAGGGGGACTCGGGTGGCCCGCTCATCTGCGACGGTGTGTTTCAAGGCCTCACGTCGTGGGGCTACACCCCGTGCGGCAGCCGCAATAAGCCCTCGCTCTTCACCTACGTGCTGAAGTATAAGCAGTGGATCGAGGACACCATCGCCGCCAACCCCTGAACGTCCGCCGTCCCCCACCCTCAGTAAAACCCGATGTGCAACAAACGCGCGTCAGATCCTGGCCTTGCAGACGCCGGCCCGGGCGCCTGGGGCCTCCGCTGAGCTGGGGTCTCCGCGGCCGCCCGTGTTGTGCCGGGAGCCCTGTGGTCACGCGCGTGGGAAGGAGGGGAGGTGTCGCAGCAGGTGTACGCGAACAGGCAGGGCAAGGTCGGGGACACCAAGCTGGCTGGTTCAGGTCCGCCCCCGCCGGGGAGCGGGAGGGGAGGCGGCCGTGGCGGGCGGCGCTGAGGCTGGATAGCGTCCACGTTTTATTGCGGCCGGGAGGCCAGGAAGGGGACCAGGGAAGTTACTGCAAGGCCCGCCTTCAGGGCCGGAGGCGCGTTCCGCGGAAGGGACGCTGAGGCAGCCTAGGGGCCAGAGTGGACACCCGAGGTGGGGCTGGACCTCAGGGAGCGGAGTCCTGTGCAGGCAGCCCCGAGCCCCGGCTGAGAGGACGGAGTGGCCGGGGACCCGGGGGGGAGCGGGCCCCGGTAGGGCC